GGCCTATAGTTGTTTAAGTCTGTAGGGTCACCACCTTTATGTATTGGTTGTAACCCTTGCCATCTTGAGTAGTTTCGGGAAGGTGCTAGTCTCTATTGACTTGTTAAAAAGTAATGAAATAGCATGCGAAAGGACATGGGCTTCTCGCTTGTACAGTAATGGTGGGACATGAGACAGATTCCCCGAGTTATTTTTAAGTGACTTTATGATCTCAATGACTTCCGTGGGCTCAGTTGGTGCAAGATAGAAGGAATTAGGGAAATTTCCATCTAGGTAGTCCCCGGCATGGGCATTGGTATGTGGGATTTTACTGGCGAGATTAGATCCTATGTTTGAGAAGAAGTCGTTTATCTTGTTAGCTGTGTCAGTGGGATGTAGTGGTGTTTCATTAGGTTTAGTTAGGACAATATTCTTCGTTTTTCTCAGTTTGTGGGTCCCTAGAATCTGAGAGTGTTTTCCAGGTCTTTTTTATATCTCCTCTAGTGTCTGTGAATCTACTGGAGTAGTATAGTTGTTTGGGGTTTTTTTATTACTTTGGTGAGAGCTGATGAATAGTGTTTAAGAGTATCTTTGTGTATTAAGCCTGTCTATATTGCTTTCCATATTGGTGTTTCTTGTCAATGGATTTCAGAATGGTGCTGGTTAGCCATGGGCAACCAAGCCGTTTGTTTTGTGATCTGTTTTGTTTTTATAGGACAATGTTTGTTGTATAGTCAAGTAATTTGTTAAGAAAAATGTCTGTCCAGTCATCAATACCATTGGCCTTGGAGAATTCTGTAGGCCAATCAACAGTCTCTAGGTCAGCTGTGAACTTCCTTACTGAGGCCTCGTCATGGAGTCTAAATGAGACTTTGTTGTATTCAAGTGGTGGTTTACTAATGTTTGTCAGGAGGAAGGTAGGGTAGTGGTCTGTAGTGCTATCTGTGATTATCCCTGATTTAAGGGGGGCTAGTATATTGGTCCATATGTGGTCTATTATGGTTGCACTTGTCTCAGTGAGCCTGGTTGGTTTAGTTATTGTTGGTATGAGAAGTGTGTTGTTCATATTGTTGATGAAATCAGTTACAGGCTGATCATCATTGTGTATTAGTGACTATATTCTACATGACCAAAATGCTATAGCTATATACTTGTCCAAACTTCCCACCACTACAGATATCAGTACTAAAACTCAACACACAACTCAGGATATTAATAACCATAATTTAAACCTAGAAGATGATTGATCACATTGACCCTGATCTAAACCTCCATAATCTGACACACAATCAAAACCTATTGGAAAGTAACTGCCTTTACTACACAGCATCACAAGCCAGCACTATCCTAAACAATGCTAAAAGTCTATCAGTACTTTACAACATCAGGTCCTTAAGCAAACACTATGATGACCTCCTGGCACTCCTTGAATCACTAAAGACACCCTATCCTGCATTATTCTTACCGAGACCTGGCTTAAGCAGGACACAATAGATATCTACCCTCTACCAGGATACACATCAATCCACAACTGCAGACCATACCAAGTTGGGGGTGGTATTGCAATCTATTACTCTAACCAATTATCTTGTATTAGCACCACTTGCTTTAGTGATGAATATGGAGAATACATTTTTGCTAATTTTACTGTAAAAAACCTTAAGACGCCTATAACAATCTGTGCCATTTACCGGATACCCCACACAAACATCCCAAATTTCAGTGAGAAATTAAAGGCACTAATAACAGACAAATTAATAAGCACCACCTTCTCTTAGCTGGAGACTTCAACATCAACCTTGGCCTACTACTACTGATTTCATCAACAATATGAACAACACACTTCTCATACCAACAATAACTAAACCAACCAGGCTCACTGAAACAAGTGCAGCCATAATAGACCACATATGGACCAATATACTAGCCCCCCTTAAATCAGGGATAATCACAGATAGCACTACAGACCACTACCCTACCTTCCTCTTGACAAACATTAGTAAACCACCACTTGAATACAACAAAGTTTCATTTAGACTCCATGATGAGGCCTCAATAAGGAAGTTCACAGCTGACCTAGAGACTGTTGACTGGCCTACAGAATTCTCCAAGGCCAATGGTATTGATGACTGGACAGACATTTTTCTTAACAAATTACTTAGACTATACAACAAACATTGTCCTATAAAAACAAAACTGATCACAAACAAACGACTTGGTTGCCCATGGCTAACCAGCACCATTCTGAAATCCATTGATAAGAAATGCCAATATAAAAAGCAATATAGACAGGGCTTAATACACAAAGATATTCTTGAACACTATTCATCAGTCCTCGCCAAAGTAATAAAGAAAGCCAAACAACTATACTCCAGTAGATTCACTGACACAAGAGGAGATATAAAAAAGACCTGGAAAACACACACTGATTCTAGGGACCCACAAACTGAAAAAAAACCAAGAATATTGTCCTAACTAAACCTAATGAAACACCACTGCAACCCACTGACACAGCTAACAAGATAAACGACTTCTTCTCAACCATAGGTTCTAATCTCTCCAATAAAATCCCACGTACCAATGCCCATGCCGGGGACTACCTAGATGAGAATTTCCCAAATTCCTTCTATCTTGCTCCAACTGAGCCCACAGAAGTCACCGAATTTATAAAGTCACTTAAAAATAACTCAGGGAATCTGTCTCATGCCCCACCATTATTGTACAAGAGAGCGGCCCATGTCCTCTCGCATACTATCTCATTACTTTTTAACAAGTCACTAGAAACTAGCACCTTCCCGAAACTACTCAAGACGGCAAGGGTTACACCAATACATAAAGATGGTGACCCTACAGATTTAAACAACTATAGGCCAATATCAAACTTACCATTGCTATCCAAAATCTTTGAGAAACTTGTGCACAGGAGACTATATTCATTTATAACGGCACAAAACATACTCAACCCCTGCCAATTTGGATTCAGGAAAAATAAAAGCACTAACGATGCAATCATAATGCTAGATCTGCTTTACACAGCTTTGGAAAATAAGGAATATCCACTAGGAATTTTTATTGACCTAAGAAAAGCTTTTGACACAGTAGACCACGGCATCCTACTCCACAAACTTGACCATTATGGTATAAGAGGCCATGCGCTTGCATATTTCAAATCTTACCTATTAGTAAGGTATCAGTATGTCACCACTAAAGACACAGCATCAACAACACAGCCACTTGATACTGGAGTTCTGCAGGGAAGTGTCCTTGGTCCCCTGCTCTTCCTCATATACATCAATGATCTTCCAAATGTATCTCAACACCTGCACCCCATTCTTTTTGCTGACGACACGACTTGTCATCTCTCACCCTAATCTTGCCACCCTCAACACCATTGTTAATGAGGAGCTGATCAAAATATCGACTTGGATGACAGCCAATAAACTTACGCTTAATGCTGACAAAACCTACTACATTATGTTTGGTAGCAGAGCAGGAGATGCGCAAATTAACATTAAGATCGACAACACTCTAATTGCCAGGCATAATGAGGGCAAATTCCTAGGCCTATACCTCGACAACAACCTGAACTTCAGCACCCATATCCAACACATAACCAAAAAAGTATCCAAAACGGTTGGGATCCTTTCCAAGATACAATACTATGTGCCGCAAACTGCCCTTCTCACACTATACCATTCACTTGTATATCCATACCTCACCTATGCTATCTGTGCTTGGGGGTCAAATGCAGCAACACACCTAAAGCCAATAATAACCCAACAAAAAGCTGCAGTAAGAATAATCACTAAATCCCATCCCTGGCAACACACTCCCCCACTCTTCCTAGATCTAAACTTACTCCCTGTTCACTACATCCACACTTACTACTGTGCAATCTACATCTACAGGACCTTAAATTCCAATATTAACCTTGACCTAAAACACTTTCTTGATAGTTGTGACAGAACCCACAGGCACAACACCAGACACAAACATCTCTACGACATTCCCCGTGTCCGACTAAACCTTTACGAAAATTCAATGTATGTCAAAGACCCCAAAATCTGGAACACCCTACCTGAAAATTCTAAAACTGCAGACACATTCATCACCTTCAAAACTACCATCAGAAAACATCTTATCTCCCTGATACACCCTGTCAACTAATTATACAAATACCACCTGGTGGTTCACACTTACTCACCCATTTGACCATAAACAGAAATATCAATCTCAATCTCAAAATAATGAATCTTAACTAGTCATAAGTTGGCCTGTAATACTCCAATACTGAAACTATGTATAGTGCCAAAACAAAAGCATTCACATTGCTAAACTCTCAAACTAGAATTTAGTCACTTTGCCATAATACCAACTTGCCTCATAATTTTGTAATATTTTAAACTTAAGATTTAATCTAAGTCTGCCCGAAATGCCTAGCCATGCTAGGTGTTCTAGTGGTGCACTCTGAAATTATTATTTTACTACATGTAAACCACACAATAACCAAATTCTGTAAACTCAGCATTGTAATCCTTATAGAGAATAAACTTTGAATTTGAAAGTTGTATTTTTTTTTGGTCAAAAACAAAACTGACAAGGGTTAAAAATAATTTATGAATATGTATAGTTTCCAATCGCCTGTTCTCTTATTTTGGCTGGCACAGCTTTCTTGCCATATTTTACTGGAGTGCTAAACGTGTAGGGAGGCAGTCAGTTCAAAGAGCAATGGCAGCTCCAGTTCCTTAGTAGATCAAGAGCTCTCACTGGCATTGAGGCACTTCCCTTCAAGTTTTTTCTCTCTCTCTCTCTCTCTCTCTCTCTCTCTCTCTCTCTCTCTCTCTCTCTCTCTCTCAATAACCATCTGTTGTGATAAAACTTTTAGTTAGAATTTATGAAAGTGTTTTCTAAGCAGCACTGGGTTACTCCTCAGGGTTTGGTATCTTCTGATTATAATGATGAATAGTTGTCTAGTAAAAATAATTTATAATGTATAAATAAAATGCACATTACATTCTCAGCGCCATCTGTCTCGTTACCACGGTGATGAAATACATGCAGTGTCAGCTGAGCGTCCTGCATCGTGTGGTGGAGGATCTGGAGCATCATCAATAGGTGGTGCATCCTCTGCAGCTTCCACACCTTCACCTCGACCACCATCTTCTCTACCCTCTCCCAGGCCTCTTCCCAACCCTCTGTTATCACTTGTTAGTGGAAAGTTATCCTGCCTTTATTGCTCTAGAGATGGATTTCCTTCTCTAGAGGCTTTACAACTTCATCTACAGTCTGCTCATGGTTAGTCATATTCAAGTATTTCTTTAATGTGTTAAATGAAAGTTTTTAAATGATAAACATTAATTTGTTTCAATATTAATATTTGGTGTTTTTTTTCTAGGGTCTGTATTGAATGGTGAAGTTAGAGACATGGCAGCAATGCTGGGTCTGCCATCCTCTTTAGGCACATCTCTTGGTGCTAGTGGTTTGGCTTCATCCATAGCCTCTCCCCTTGGCCCCGGATCATCACGGGGAGTTAGCTGTGAACTGTGTGGGGCTCGTGTTGGAGGAGTCACAGCTCTACAGAGACATGTTGTTACAGCCCACACTTTCACGGATCTGTTGGCACGTGCTGCTGAAGGGGTCTTCTGTGCACAGTGCCTCTTGCCCTTTAGTAATCCAGGTGCCTTAGCTGAACACATCAAACTTGTTCATGCTGCACCAGTTCTCTCAGCAGTGCTCAATAAACGCCCACCTTCTCCCCCAACTGATACTCCAACTGACTTGAGCAAAAAGTCCCGGCACGAAACTCTGACATCAGATCTTCCTGCCTCCACATTACTATGCAGCCAGTGCAATGCTCCATTTACAAATTTTGAAGCCTTCCGAAGGCATCTCAAGTCTCACTTAGATGGAGGAGAGCAGCTTGCTTCAACAGCTGGTGCAGTGCAGCTTGCATGTCCAGAGTGCCGTCTACCATTGACATCAGAAGCAGCATTAGAAGCTCACTTATCAACTCATTTAGGTGTTACATGTACAGAGTATGGATGTCAAGCATGTCTGAAACTTTTTTCAAAGCCTGATGAATTACAAAAGCACTTAATGGATATTCATGCACATCATCTTTATCGTTGTGCTCTGTGCAAGGAGATGTTTGATTCTAAAGTGTCAATCCAGGTACATTTTGCTGTAAAACATAGTAATGAATGTAAAGTAAGTAAATGCACGAGGTGTTCCCTCATATTCCGTTCTCACTCGGAGTTTGAAGGACATATACGTTCCAGTCATGTGCGTCGTGGGCATTCTGGCAGCGATCAAATATCAGGTAGTGGTTCTGGTGGTGGCTCTGGAGGATCATATCGTTGTCTGTTGTGCACTTTAACTCTAAGTTCTGAGGCAGAGTTGTCTGCTCATGTAGCCACACACCAACGGCAGTTTCAGTGTTCACTCTGTGATGATGCCTTTTATGTCGAATTCCTTTTGGATAAACATATGCAAACGCAACACAATTCTGAGCTCAATGGCAATGTTCCACAGCCAGAAAATCTGGCAAAGCCCCGTCGTAGTCCCCAGAAAAAGGAACTTAGATGTGATATTTGTGATGCAGAGTTCTCCACAGACTCGGGACTACAAACTCACAGGAAACAAGCTCACAATATAAAGAGTGGGTCTGGTGGCATTGCTGCTAAGGTAGCTGCTGCATCTTTGAGTCTGTTCTGTGCATACTGTAGTGAGGCATGCAAATCTCGAGGTGACCTGGAAGCGCACATGAAATCGCATCAGGGTAATGGGGGTCGTCATAAGTGTAATATCTGTGATGAATTGTGTCCATCAGCAGCTCTTCTCGCTCAACATAAACTTACTCATGTTAAAGTTGTATCTGGAAGTGCATGTGCAGTGTGTCGTGAACCTTTAACATCAGAGCAGCAATTTACAAATCATCAAAATGAACATCACCCAGCACCACTGCCTCAACCCTGTGTGGTGTGCAGACAAACACTTGTTACTGACATGGAAGTTAATGTCCATGCACGTTTCCATGCTGCTCAAGCTGCCCAAGCAGCTGCTGCAGCATCTGTTGCATCAAGTATCTTTAGTAGTGGTGAATTACTCCATCAATCTTCAAATTCCTCACTTGTTACTACTGCTGCCACTGTCTCTACTATAACCACAAATAGCAGCAGTAGTCACAGCAGCAGTAGTCCTAGACATTCCCCATCATTACGGTGTTCAGAGTGTCATTTAAAATTAGAAACTATTGAAGAGGCTGAAGTTCATGCTGCTTCCCACCATCACCAGAATCACCAACCACCACAGCACCAAGGTTTTGGTCGTTCTGTAACGTCTCGTACTTACCAGTGCATCAAGTGTCAAGAAAGTTTTGCATCAGAAGCAGAAATAGAAGCACACGTAGCATCTCATCTCCTTCATGAAGGATCAGTACATGAGTGCCATTTGTGCCGTGCTACATTTGATACACCTCTGCGTCTTCAGTGTCATCTTATCGAGCATACATTTGAGGGTTGTGGAAGTTTCACCTGCTACATGTGTTCATCAGTGTTTACAACTGCATCACGATTACAGCAGCACATGGTAGAACATGGCTTAAGTGCTCGGCCTTATGATTGTCACCACTGCCATCAACGCTTCTTCTTCCGTGCTGAGCTTGAAAACCATGCACTCTCTCACCCTGAAGCTGCTGATGGGTGCCGTGAGTGTCATGCAAGCTTTCCTGATCTTCCTCGTCGTAATTTAAGACTGTCGTCCCTCTCCTGCATAACCTCTGCTCAGCATGTAGGACCTCCTATGATTCAAACTCAAGGGAACTCTGAAATGGGACTAACACGGCCAGCTTCACCTTGCACAGTTTGTACTGGAGATGAGAGAGATGCAGGGTCAGCAAATGGTCATGGCACTTCTGCAACAGACATTAAGGATGAATAGGCCTTGGTAACCAAACATTTACCATTTGTAATCCAGTGCAAATTATTTTTTATGTTAATGATCTGATCAGTAAATTTTTGTGGTTCATAAAACATCTTCGGTAGACTGCTACAGATTGCTTCTCAACAGCTAGGTTATGAGTAGTCTGTTTCACTTGTGTAAGCTGGACCATGCAGTGTAGGTTATCACATGTATAATGGTATGTATGAAGTGTTAATGCTGACAGGTCTGAATGTGATTTATGTTTGTATGCTTTCATGTGTAGTAAAAGCACGGGAGAGATGGGACCATTGTTAACCACTTCTTGCTGTTGCTTATTATGTGATAATACTACACAGTGAAATAAATCACAAGGACATGGAAGTACAAAATTAGTTTTTCTCCAAATATTTGATTGTCCCTTCAGATCTGCTAGCATTATCAGCATGTCTGTAAAAGCAATCTTAGAAAGCAAATAGCCCAAAAAAGTCAAACCTGTGATGTATGTAATTTACCAGTTATAGGTCACAGGTAGTCTGCTGTTTTTTTTATACCCGTGAAAGAAATCTGGTCACATTGTTGCCTATTTGTTAAACGTCATGGATATGTTTGTTCTACAGGGTATCTAACATCTCACTGTAAATAGTAAATTATAATTGTTTTTCATCTCGCTCCTGTAGTGTCCATAGGAACAAACTTTTCATTAAAGGTGGCAGTTAATGTCTCAAAAACTTGTGTGGTTCTTCAGTAAGGTTAACCTGTTTTGTAAGAGATGTAGACCTTATGGAATATCTGAATTAGCCCCATTATTGTCACAGTTGAGGACCAGCATTTGGTGCCAGAAATCTCTGCTTCATTTAATTTTTACTCTTGGTGTTTTAGAGAAATGAGTTATTTGGACCAAAAAGAATATTTATTTAAGCATATGCAAGGCATTTGTATTTTTTCTGAAGTAATTTGTGAAGAATTTGAGTGTGCATTTATTTGTTAAATAATGTGGTTAAAGTGGAATCCTGTTGTAAATTAAGTGGAATAAAATTTCACTATAAGAGCTTGTTACATATCCATTGATTAAAGATGCTGCACCATGAATTTGCACTTTGCAACAAAGCTGTTCATGACATAAGCAGACAGATGCAGTGCTGATTAGGCATAAAGATCATAAAATATGAAGTAGACACTAGCAACAGTCGAGCTGTAAAATGGCTTTGTTAAATAAAAGTGAGTCAAGATGCAAGTCTGAAAACATTAAAGATTTCTTTATTAGCTAATGGGGGAGGCAGGGAAAAAATATTTCGGTATCAAATTGGTAAACAAAGATTTGTCAATATAGATATCCTCTGATGACATTTCATTTTGCAGGGGAGATTAGTCTGTTAATGCTGTAAGCACACTGGATGGAAAATTTTCTCCAGGGTTGGCAGGACCCCTGCAATGGCTTAACTTGATGCAGCACTGTGATATACCTGGGACTGGTTTTGAGTTTTCCTACTACAGCCTAGCTTTGAGTTGGGCATATCTGGTGCTTGCCTGGTCAACCAGGATGTTGCTACCTAGTCATTGCTCTGTAAGTATCAACTACCTATTTTTACTGTACCAGGCTGTTGCTGGTCCATTCCATTTGCTGAGGCTGGAGACCCACATGCAGTTCCTGCTGAATCAATAGATTGGTCTTTCATCCCTCTGATGGTGGGTGGTGTGCTGGTCTACATTTTATTTAAAGCTGGACTTGGGTCACGAATTTTCATTTGTGGTTCATTGTATTGGGAGAACTTCCACGAATGTTGTATTTTTGAGGTGGTACTCATCTTAACGATAGCCTGTTGTATATTTAGCTGGGGTTATTCAAACATTGGAGGAGTGGGCACCATTTTGGTACTGTCTGCCATGAAGCCATCTACTTGTCATTCATGTATCCCTCTATTAACCCAGGGCCCATTAGTGCCTTCTCTTGTTGGACTACGGGTGGTAGGGGTATGGGAGCTTAATTATTTATACTACTGTTTTTGGATATTACAAATAAGCCCTCTGAACTACCTTTGACTATTCCATTCTTATCCTGGAAAGGACTAACGTAGGCCTTACTCTACCACACCGAGTGATTCATATACTGTTCATGACATTTCTTGACCACAAAATTGCTATAATCATCAGGCTTTTCTCCCCCCCCCCCCCATCACTTTGGCTACATTCTATTACCTCTCCAGAGATATGACCCTCAAATATACTCGCTTCTTTTCATTTAGCTCAGTGAGGCTATGAATATATTTTGTGATTAATCAGATAATCACTCATGATCTCCACATGCTTTGTGTGTATTAATTTATTTGTAAGCTAAAAACCCCCTCTAGTTTACAAACTGTAGAAGATGCATGTACATATGGTTCTGTGGTATGCTTGCCTTAGCATTGCAGGGCTGCTGTCCTTGAAAGTTTCAACTAGTGTACATTTACCAAGTTCACTAAATCATCCATGAAATGATATGCTAGCAGTTGCCCATCAACAAGTCTGATATATCTATCTGTCCTCTACATAGCCTGAACTCTTCCCAGTACTGGTAAAGCTTGAATGCCTTTGTTGTTCAGTGAGTACAGCATTCTTCCTCCACTTTTTTTTTTCTCCCTAGCTAGCTATTCATGGCCTAGTGCTTATGCTGTGCTGTCCTTGCTTATGTAGTGTGCTTTATGCTCTAACCTCGAATGATATTGGTATGTAGATGAATGGTTCAGAGAACCGACATGATGTTGAATTAGACACGTGCAACTCTTGGGTATCTTTGAGGAAACGTTTCGCCACACAGTGGCTTCATCAGTCCATACAAAGGAGAAACTTGAAGAACAGGAGGAGAATGAGGTAATCAGTCCCTCAGCCTTGAGTCGATGTGGTCAGTCCATCAATCTTGAATAGAAGCCACTGTGTGGCGAAATGTTTCCTCAATAAAGATACCCAAGAGTTGCACATGTGTCTAATTCAACATGATGTCGGTTCTCTGAACCATTCATCTACAATCCTGTCAGACACTGCAACTTCTTGGGATCTTAATACTTGGGAATTCTTCACTTGCCTAACCCTTGGGCACGACCTACTTCCACATGGGACAAATGTGACACCACCTATGACTGCTGCCCCTCACCTGTCTATGGTTTATAAGCTGCTTCTCCGCTCATATGCCGTATTCTATTCAAGATTGATGGACTGACCACATCGACTCAAGGCTGAGGGACTGATTACCTCATTCTCCTCCTGTTCTTCAAGTTTCTCCTTTGTATGGACTGATGAAGCCACTGTGTGGCGAAACGTTTCCTCAAAGATACCCAAGAGTTGCACATGTGTCTAATTCAACAATATTGGTATGGTTTGAACTACAGGGTACAGGAAAAGGGGAAAATTAGATCACATTTGTAGGGGAGCACTAAATCCATAGGGATCATACAATGGCTGGGAAAATGGAAGACATTCAGACTTGATTCAAGGAATTGGAGCATATGTCTACTTCCTTAGATAAAGAGCCCTTCACCAAGATCAAGGTAGTGGCAGGAAGGCCTAAGAAAAATACAATAGCTTTGATTACAAATTTAATGTAATTACATAAAAAATTATAACTGCATTTATAAAAGTGTAATATCCATTCACAAACCCATAGAAATGATTGCCACATTTTGTTTTCTACAGTTTACCCTTGCACAATCACTGGTCATCTATAAGATTTCAAGAGGTCTTATCTTGCAGTTTAGCTATATAGATGCACCCTTCTTCACTTTCAGTCCATCCTCATATATCTAGACTATGGTGACTGACTATGTTCTTCAAAGTCCCACATTACCCTTTCTAAACTTGATCCAACTCATCATTACTGGTTACATTTGTGTGTGGGATTTCTGCTCTTCCTCAGAAGCCTCTATGCAGAGGTGAACATCTTCCCTTTGCAAGATCAGCAAATCAGTCCATTCTGTCGACCTTTACTATCCTTCCATGCATAGGACAGTAATGATTTTAGTAAGGCTTCTTTGTTTAATTTGTTGCTCCTCCTCCTCTCCGTATTAGTTTTTTATTGGTTTCCCTTAATTTACCTCCCCTCTACATTCACCCTGCATCTTGTTTATACATACCTTCCTCCTTGGGAAAGCCAGATGATTCATATTTGCTCTTTCCCATTTCCATGTGTGAAAAGTTCACTTACATGCTATAACTTCATGCTTACTCTTTCTTAATGACTTCAATTCGCATTCTCCTACAGTGTACACTGATAGTTCTAAATCCCCTAATGGTGTTGGATATGCAGCAGTTTTTCCTGACAAAAAATTCAGTCATTTACTAATTTACCATGTTAACGAAGCAAGTTATGGCAATTCCCATGGCCATCATATGCATTGTATCAGTCTATTTTCATCACTTGTAGTTGTATCTGATTTTTCCAGGATTGCTGGTGTCTTTTTTCTGTCTCAAACACGCTGGATAACAGGTATATATTTCTACTTACACTTAGGTCACAACACGGGCATGCACATGCATAATATAATACACCATCTAGGGTTTTTCTTTTTTTTTCTTAATATTTTTTATCTCTATTGTCCAGGGGGAAGTGGAAAAAAATCTTTCCTCCGAAGCCATGCGGTAAAAAAGGGCACAAAATCTGGACAATGGGCTGAACCCCTTTTCCCTGTACACTTTTTACTAAAAATCAAAGGGGGCCACCCTGTTTGGGGGGGAATTTGGGCCCAAATGTTTTAAAAAAAAAAAAAAAAAAAAACACGAGTGAAAAGGTTTTGGATTTGAGTGGGATTGCACGAAGTTAATAAAATTATCAAAGCCTTTTCCTTGGGTAGAATTGAAAATTGAGTTGGAAAATTTCTGTTAGTAGGATGGATTGGAAAGACCTGTATGGGGGCCAACGGGCTTCTGCAGTGTTCCTCCTGTTTCTTACCAAAAATTTTGACTTGACTATTTTTTGGTGAAAATAGGGGAGACATGATAGAGGTGTATAAGTTAAGAGGGGGTTTTTAATAAAGGGGATAGTAAGGTTTTGAGGATCTTTTAAGAGAACCCCCCAATAAGGGATTCAAATTAGACAATTTTTAAAAATTTTAAAAAGGGATTGGGAAAAGTATTTTTTTGGGAAATGGTAGTTAGTGGAACGTCTGCCTAGTAGGGTTTTGGGGCTAAGCCCTTTGGGTTTAGTTTCAAATTTAGGTTGGATAAATACATGAATAGGGGTTTTGGATTTGGGGGATTTTAAGAAAAAATTATCAAGTTTTTGCTTGAGTAGAATTGAAAAAATTGGGGTTTGGGCAAATTTTTGTGGGGTGGTTGTGAAGGGCCTCCTAGTATGGGCCCAAAAAGCCCCCTGCAGTGTTCCTCCTTTTTTTCTTTATGCCTCTTCAAGGGGGCTCCTTGGCGTGGTGAAAGGCTCTTGGTTGGGGAAATTAGACCGTCTTCTACTTCCACAGACCCGAAAAAAAATTCCCCCCCAACCCCCCCGTTTCCCCTTTCCCCCCTTTCCACACCCCCCCTTTTCCCTTTTTCCTCCCCCCCCCCCCTCCCTTTTGCCCTTCCTTTTTGACCTTTTGGGTTTTTTTTTTTTTTTTTTTTTTTTTTTTTTTTTTTTTTCCCACGGGCACGCAGTTCCTAAGTAGGGGAAAGGGTCCCGGGGGGTCCATCCCTTTCCCGTGAGGTTCTTGCGGGGGCGTATTTTTGCCGTGGAATCTGACCGGGGGATTCCTATCCCTCCCCGGTTATCCGGAGGGGGGTTTTGGGCCCCTCTGGGGCGAGGGGTTGTATCTCGGAAGCCCCCTTTTTTGGTTCCGGGGGTGGTGGCCGAAGGGGGTATGTTTGTGGCGGTTTCCCGGCCCCCCCTTTTTTTTGTCCACCGGGGTAGTGGGCAGATGGGTTGCTATCCCGGATTCCCGGGTTTACGGGCGATGGGTAGGAGGCAGGGGTTCCCTGCTGCATCTTGCGGTGCTGAGGTCCCCTTGGGGCGGGGGGAATTTCGGGCCCTTTTTCATTCCCCCTAGGAACTATCCCTTCCTGGCCCCCCCTTTTTTTTTTTCTT